AGCTGAGAAGGTCTGAGACAACTCAGCCTCATCCATCATGACCACGTGTCCCAGGTGCTGCCTGACCTGGGGAGATCAGAATGTCATCCTGGGAGACCTTTGCTAGGCTCTTCTGAAAAGGTTGTTTTTACCTGAACTGTGTACTTTATTTCTTTTCTTTTCTCTTTTTCTTCTTTTCTCTTTTTTTTTTTTCTTTTGTTTTCAAGTAGGGAGGGAGGGGGTAACTAACAGCAGGTCCCCGGGTGGGTACTAACTCTGCACAGGGAATGGAAAGAGGAAGCCAGAAGATCTGCCCCTGGAGACGCCGGCGACCCTGCCGCAGGCCTCCACCACGTGGCCATCCCCTTGGAGGCCATCTTTACTAATGTGGATTGCACTGTGGCTTCCCAGGCAATAGAGGCCACGGCTGTGGACCCAGGCCTGCCTTCTCAGGAAAGGCTCCTCAGAGAGCCGGTGGCCTGCAGAGAGGACCCATGCAACCTCAGAGACCCGGAGACCCAGCGAGCCGACGACCCCACCCGTCTGAGCAGGGTTCTCGCCCTATGCCCTTTCTTAAAGGAAACAAACCTGGATAGGGTGACGTCTGCGGGCTTACAGGTTTCACTGCCAATCCCAACCGAGGGCCACAGCTCCTTGTTAAGTCAAATTAGCATTGCAAAGAAATAAATCAAGGTATTGGAGAAAGAGTTCTTCAGTGATTATGGAGCCAAATTGTGAAAAAATAGTACTCACACAGCTCTTCACTTCTTGCATTACTTCGTGCAACATTTTGAGAAATCTTTTCTTCTTCTTAAGAGTACCTTAATTAAAATATAAATAACACCCATCATTCAATTATATTTAATTTAATTTAATGTTAAATTCCAAAATTGTATGACTTCATTGTCCATTTTATATCACTGTAAAATTTTCTTGTTTGTGTACTCTCCAGATTAGAACTTAGGGAAATTTCAGGTATTTGGAACCACTAGCTTTTACTTCCTAAGATTACCAAGTTGGGAGCAATTCTTTCAAGGAGCCCATTCTGCTGCAATATAGGGGCGTCCCATTGTGGGAGATGGCTCTGACTCACCAGTTGCTGTGCCTTACTTCTTTTCTATCACAGTGGCAAGTTTTCCTTAGTATCCTCTCTGTTCTCAACTCACACAATCCATCCTGGTCACTCTCAGAAACCAAGGAACTCTTTTCCAACTCCTGATTACCTGGCTTTAAATTTGGTCCTTCAGACAAATCAACCCTGGTGGGGACAATGGCAGGCATCTGTTTTTCCTGACTCAGTATTAGTGACATTTGAGATTAGCACAGGCCCCCGTGCCCCATGTGTACAGGAATATACACATAAAAAAGGAGATACATGCACAAAAATTCAGTTGGTAGAGGCTAGGAACCAGAAATAGCAAGTACAGAAAATCAAGACTAAAACGTGTTGCCACTCGTATCCCATCTCTACCCCTTTTCTCCATCCCAATTGTTTTGTAAAATCCCTTTTAGAGAAAGACTAACCCGGTGAAGTGACCTGAGAAATATCGTTTTTTTCCTCCCATTTCTTTTTCACCATTTGCCAGCATTTCCAATAGCATTTTCATGTCTTCTTTCATTTTATATTTTGTAAAAACATTTTGCGAAATTCATCACAAATGGCAGGTTTACCTGATGATATAGAAAAATTTGCTGAAAACTGGAACTTTTTAGGAAAGCATATTTCACCAAAAAGTATTCCTCTTATTCAACATGCAGTGATACTCCTGCTTCATGGATTAAAGTTATGGCACAGGGGGCCGACTGGGCGCCGTGGCTCAGCACTCTGGGAGGCCGAGGTGGGCGGATCACGAGGTTAGGAGATCGAGACCATCCTGGCTAACACGGTGAAACCCCGTCTCTACTAAAAGTACAAAAAATTAGCCGGGAGCGGTGGCGGCGCCTGTAGTCCCAACTACTCCGGAGGCTGACGCAGGAGAATGGCGTGAACCCGGGAGGCGGAGCTTGTAATGAGCCGAGATCACTGCACTCCAGCCTGGGCGACAGAGCGAGACTCCGCCTCAAAAAAAAAAAAAAAAAAAAATTACGGCCCAGGGGGTGGCATGGAGAACGTAGTACGGAGAGTTTGAGAGGGAGGGAGAGATTGTCGCCTATAAACGAAGAGAGAGAGAGAAAATGGCACAAAATGTTTAGGTCTCGGAGTGAAATAGAAGTAGAAAGCTCTCAAAATAAAAAAAGAGACAAGCTCATCCTTATCTTTCCCCTCCTTTTTCTTTAGATAATGATTTCCTGTTTTTTTTCCAAGCAGGATAGAAGCATGTTGAAAAAGTTAAAACGGTAAATGTTAATGAAAGCAAATGGGACAGTGCTGGAAAAAGCATCTCTCTATGAGAAATGTACCTCCTGAAGGGCCTGTTCAAAGGAAAATTCAATGAAATGTTTTTGGAAAATAAAAAAATTATTATGAGATTTGAGCAAAATACAGTAACCCTGCTTATTGGAAATGATCAGCGCTTAAAAATGTATCTCTGTGTGCCTCTTTGTGGCTCTAAGTTGCCTCCCAGAAGGTCAAGTTTTTACTTGATTAGATCTGGACTGAGACTAAAATATGTAGTTAATTCAATCACAATCTTAATGGGTCTTTATTTTTGAAAAAATTTTAGCTTTTCCTTTAAAACTAGTTTAGATCTTTTCCAAATCTTCAGAATTAAAATATGTGTTGGTAAAATTAAAACTGTTAGTAAGAATATGATTGGTAAGAGAAATTATGGTAAGAATAATTTTCCAAGAATAAGAAGAATAATTTTCCAAGAATAAGAAGAAAACACAACGCAATTTTGTTTTGGGAATTCTTACTCATTTAGGCTGTATTTCTTTAATTTTCTGTTTAATTTAATTTTCTTATCTATGTTCAATTAAAAAAATAGGAGTTTGAAATGTGCTTCTCTTTATTTTTGGACTTTCGCACCAATATATGCTTTATTTCTATTCTAGTCTGAGGCACATTTCTCCATTTGTTCAATTTCTTTTCCCTAGTTAGCTTACTTTTTCTAAGTTTTTTCTCTTTTACACTCAGAGGTAACCTTGAAAAGCTAAGTGTGACATCTTCATTTCTATAGGTGTGCCTTGTTGGGGAAATATAATGAAAGTAAAATCTCCCAACCCAGAAGTCCTCTCCATAAAGGTATTGGAGAAGGAAAGCACTTTAATTATAGAATAATCATTAAGCCAGAACGTGAGTGCATCACAGCCAATCTGGTAAGAGTTTGCAAAGACAGAAAGGAACCTCAGCCTTTTGTATGGCTGAGCTGATGCAGCCCATTACATATATGTTCTTAAGCACTAACTAGCCTTCAAGTAAGGGGACTTGACTGCACCATTTATCACACATAATTTGTCCTAGATTCACTTGGTCTTAGGAGTGACCTTGTGTGTTAGTTAATGGGATTTATTCTAAATAAAAAATAAACTCTTCTTATCTTCATGATAAGAGGTAGTTTAACTTGGAGCAAGGTGCCCATCGAAGCTGGCCTCCTACCCTCCTGCAGAAATTGCAGATAGGGATGCTATCTCCTTTGATGTTGATGTTTCAAAGAAATGACTCCCACATTCTTCATAATGCTGACGAGTCCTACCCAGCGTTCAGAAAGGTTTGGTTACATTGCAAAGAGGAGAAAAGACTTAAAGTAACAGGTTTTCTAAGGAAACTAAAGAAAGGGAGGGAGGATTGGTCTCTTCCTTTATTCTCCACAGAGAGAATTAAAACTATTTAAAGTATTTATTTGTCCTTACACCCTGCAATAATGCATGCTTTTCTGTTTAACTGACAAATGGAGATTGCCAATGGTATGGCTGTCAACAGCTATACCAGACAGGATGAAATAGCACATCAATGCTTGGAAATATATTCAATCATATAATTAATCATATCATAATTTTTCGTAGTAAATTTTTCTATAACATGGTTTTACTCTTTGGAATCACCTCTTCTTTTATTTTATTGAAAAATGATGGAAAGGTCAGTGGTGATGCCAATGAGGATTAAGGAAAAAAATACATTAAAAAGCTGACCAAAGAATAAATGTTTGGGAGGGCACAATTTTTAGAAATTGAATTTGGGAGCTATAGGCACTCTTCATAACAACAACAACAAAAATTGTTTAAGATTTATTTATTTATTTAATGAGCATTCCTCTATGGTATGCATGCCCACCACACAATGACCAACATATCTACCCGCCTCTTACACAGAACAAGTCAAGGCTGTGTACTCAGGACCTTGTAGTAGCTACTTGTCATAGGTTAACAGGCGCATGGATCAGACTTAAAACCAGTCGTCATTCTGGGCACAAGGTTAGCCAAGCCCAAATAAGCCCAACATAGCCACATCTGATCCATAGATCAATGAGAGGGAGAAATAAATATTTCTTGTTGGAAGCCACTGAGTTTGGGGTTGGGTTTTAAAATCGCCATTATTGCAGCAATAATGAAGATACCCTTCATATCTTTTTAAATATACTTTATTTTTTCAGAGTAGTTTTAGTTTCATAGAAAAATTGAGCAGAAACTGAGAGACCTCTCATGTGCACCCTCTGTTCCCATATGGACAGGTTCCCTCACTATCAATATTCTGCACCAGAGTGATCCATTTGTTAACAATCGATGAAGTTACTTCATACATCATTATCACTGAAGACCATAGTTCACACTAGGGTTCACTCTTGGTGTTGTACATTCTATGAGTTTTGGCAAATGTAGAATGATATGTATCCAATATACATTATATATAGTGCCATGCAGCATAGTTTCACTGTCCTAAAAACTTCCTGTGTTTCACCTAATTATCTTTCCCTCCCTACAACCCCTGGCAACCACTGATCTTTTTACTGTCTCCATAGTTTTGCCTGTTCCAGATATTGTATGGTTTGGATACTTGAATACAGCCAGAGCTGAAAGAAGTCACTGTGATTGAAGTGGGAAAGGGGAATAAAATAATATTTGATTGAAGTGGGAAAGGGGAATAAAATGATATTTGATAGATAAGCAGGGGCATTTTCATTTAATACCTTGTAAACTATGGTAAAACATTCATTGTTATCTGATGTACCATGGAAAGCTATAGAAGAAGAGATCTAAGCAAATGAAAAAACATTTTTTTAAACCTCTCTTTTAGAACATAGATGTTGGAGGTATAAATGATAGGTATGTAAAGTCTGTGAGCCAGGGAGAAATAAGCAAAATACACAGGTCTTGCACCTGCACCATAGATCTGGGTGGATGTGAATATCATTACTGAGATGACTGGGTGACCAGGTATAAAGCGAGATTGATTGCTTTGGGGAGCAGTTAGGAATGACAAATGACATTTGAAATGTTTAAGTTCGTTATGTTTGAGATATTTATGAGATAGTGCATTCTTCTTCTATTGCTGCAGTAACAAATTATCTCATACTTTGTGGCTCAAAACAACATAAATTTATTCTTTTATCTTAACAGTTACAAGTAAATGCTTTAGGTACATGTATAAAAATAATTTTCTAAAATATATGTGTTTAATAATAACATACTAATGAATATTTGATCTTATAATTAAATCAAGTATATAATATTTTATAGCCAAGAAAACTTTACAAATATATCTTCAGAAATGATGCTCTAAGTGATTGAGTTAGGGAGGAGATGGGGGGTGTTTGTTTCATCCTAAGCTTATCTGGAGAAAGAAAATTCAGTTTTAAAATGGAAGTTAAAAATACATAGGTTCTTTTTTAAAAAAAAAACAAAAAACAAACAAAAAAACCCATGAATTCTGGTCAGGTTTTACTCAACAATAGTTGCCAAGGAAAATAAACATATTTACGTTTAAATAACATGAAGGCTTACTTTTCCACACTTCCCAGAGAAATTATTCAGAAACACATACCAGAACTAAAGTATCAATACGTTAGAATACTCCTTATCTAACGAAGTGTTTTCTATAGTTATTCAGTGATTGATGGGATAGGCTTTCTCTGCTTGGGTTGCCCTGAAAGTAGAATTTGAGGTAAGGGCTTGGATGCAGATAATTCATTTCACTGGGGAGCCCAGGAAACATGAGTGAGAGAGGAGGGAGACTGTGTCAAAAAAGGACAAAGGCTAATTTAAGGATTTGTTGTGGAGTCTGCTTCCTGAAAATCTGGGAGATGGATTTCAAGGGGACTTCATGAGAAGCATTTGGAACGCCTCCCACAGTTCTTGACTAAGAGCAGAGGTGAGAGCGTTTGTCTACTGGCCCTGGTCTCTGCTGGTTGAAGCTTTTGGGAAGTGCAGGCTTAAAGCTTCCAGGAACAAACTTGATCGATATCTCAGTTACAAAGTATCTTCTTTTCCATCTCATTTTCCTTATCCTAGAATGAGGAGGTTTCAAGGGACATCTGACCACATGGTGTGTTGTATTCTGCAAGTGCAAATTCATCTGAAAGACAGTAATTGTTATTAGAAAGTTTTATAGCATTGTTCAAGAAGAAAGCATCTTTATTTCTTATCTGTTTAGAAATAAATTCCCCTAAATCTGTGCTACTATAACAGTTTCTTTGCTTAACAGCTTCCAAATATACTGTATTTTTGTTCTTCTGATTTACATCACACTGCATGCATACCCATATGATCATTCTTAAGTGTTTCAAGTATGATGTTTTGTATATGATACATACTGAAACCTAACAGAGGTTAGGGTTTTCTCTTCTAGAATAAAGTGTCTATTTTACCACAAGAGCTGGAGGGACAGTGAAGACTTAGTTCAACCATCCAGGTTTTTGTAAAGAAGTAAACACATTTGTGCTTACCAAATGTGTAGGTACTCAAAGTTTGTAAACCACTGTTGACTTACACTTAACACTTAATAGTTTGTATCACTATTGATTCACTCCCTTTTTTGGATGAAATATTTATCAAGATAGCATGTATAAAACAGGTTTTTGTTTCCTCAAAAAGTCTGTGAGTCATTTATTGGCTGAGGTAATCTGACTTGAAAATAATTAACTTGTCATTTTAATTCTTTAACTGGTAAAGTTATTAGACCTATGTTTTAATGTGTTCATAGACATAATTTTTACCTAGCAAAAGCACAGTGTTCAGATAAGCTTCAATTTCGAAACAGAAGACCTCATTTAGAGATTGTATTCTGCTACTTACCTGTTTGGTGTTATCAGTAAGAATTTGCCTTTCCTGAGCCTTGGTTAAAACATTAATAACACCATAAGAACTTGGTTGAAAACAAAACAAAACAAAATCCAGAAACCCAAAATTATCTGACCAAGTTGGCTCTGATTATAAATTTTTTATTTAAAAATTTCACTGTGCTAAGCAATACATGAATAGATAGATGGTAGCTAACCAGATAAACAGATGCCCAGACTAGCCTGTTGAAGGATGAGAGGCAAGAATAAGCTGATTCAGCTGGCAGTCAGCCAGCCGCCAATCAAGAGCCAGTACAATGCTAGACATATGAATGAGGCCTCCTAGAACATCCAGCTGACCAACTCACCAGGTGAATTACAGGTGCAATTCAAAGAGGGAAGAGCTGAACCAGCCCAAACCAGTCACTCTGCATCAATCAGCTTGGCTGATCCATAGAATTGCGAGGAATAATAAATGGTTGTGACTTTAAAAATATGTTTTCTAAGAATATTTTTATGAACGTATCTTTATCATCTCTAATAGTATATGTCTCTTTCTCTCTTCAAATAAGCACATGATTTCTGTATCCTGTAATTCACACTAATGCATAAACTATGCCAACCTTCATAGCCATTGACTTTATTTTGCCTGAATCTATATTCAGCTAGATAGCCTACTTCACATTTATTTTCCAATAATTTAAGTGAACATCTTAGTGAGAAGACTGGTTAAGAAAAATCAGGCCAGTTTTGTCCATTTAGGTAGAAAAAAATCCTCAAATTTTGCTCTTGAAATTCTGATGCTTTTTGTATTAGGCAGTATGAACAGTTACAAAACACCAAATAAGGGAAGAAGATTTCAAACATAAGAACTGTAACAGCAGTAGGGAAAATGAAAATTGGTTTAACTATTTAGGTTGGTGCAAAAGCAATCGTGGTTTTCGCCTTGAATGTAATCGCCAGAACTGCAATTACTTAATGACAAAAACCGCAGTAACTAAATACGGTTCTTACCAGTTTCATAATAATCATAGAGCTGAACAGATGCTGGCTTGATGTTGGATACGAGTGCATCTTGTTTGATGGAGAATGAGAATTGAATTTCTTTTTGAGTAACCTGAGAATAAATCAATATTGTTATGCATATTGAGATGTATTCCCTCAACTTCTCTCCATTTCAAATATTCAGAATTATTTTAGCAATACTGTTTCGATACTTATGCTCTTAGGAAAACTTTTTTAAACATAAAAAAACAAAGACAAAAGTAAAACCACATTGTGACTCAAGCATATACATCAACACACAAACCAAGTTATGACAGTAAACTTACATTCTCCAGATAGAAAAAGACATGAGTGGTCTTGATTTCTACTCGTTGTACTTTGCCATCTTCCTGAAGCTAAAAATAAGGAAGAAAAGTGTGCTGAAAATTCAGGGAACTAGGATTACAAACATCTAGTGATCCAAAGATAAAATATTTGCTTTCAACTTGGAGGTTTTCCTGCATCTTTATAAACACTTGCCATGTTTCTATAAAGCTTCAACAACAAATATTTATCTTTGAGATTTATTCATTCAACATTTTTGAAACATCTATCTGTATATATTAGATTCTAATTTTAAATAAATAGAATAATAGAATGAATATAATAATAACTAAACACTAACTCATTTACCTGTTTTTTAGTGATACACTGTTTTGACAATATAAGAATATAAATTAATTTGAGAACCTCAATGTTTTACTTTAAGATACCAATAAGATTCAAATTTTACTCCTTAAGAATAGAAAATGTATTCCTTTTTTAAATAAACTTGTGGCCAATGTATAGTATAGCACAGGGCTCAACACATTGTATCTATTCTGAAGTTATTTCAATTAACAATGTTTAAATCTTTACCTTCTTAACTGATGATCTATCTGGTACAAATCCTGAAAGCATCTTCACATCAATGATTGCCATGTTGGAAGAGTTGCGCTTTCCATAATAACTTTTTTTTAAAAAAGTACAAAATTTAAAATTCAGATAAACTTTGATCATTATTTCGGAAAACAAAATTATTTAGGAAAACAAAAAATAAAATGTATTTTCATGCAAAAAAAAAGTTTATTTTATCATCCCCTTTATAGAGTTTATTTTTCTGAGACTGGAATAATTTAATAATAAACTGAAGTTAGTGGTGCTCCGAAATGACACAACATGCGTCTTAATTCATTCCTAAGTGGACCCAGAGAATTGAACCTAGGTCTGATAACCTCGTTTTAGAATTTTATGTTTCAAAAGTAACAGTTTGCAATGTGTTGATTTACAAACTAGAAACTAAGAAAATGTACCTCTTGAGGAGGAATTTATAGAAATTTTTTCCCTTACAACTTCCTCCTGGTCCATATTTTTTCGAAGTCAGATTTATTTTTGCACCTACCATAATCTTATAAAATTTAGACAATTTAAACAAGATGAAATATATTTTCCAAGAGGATAAAGATAGGCCAGTCTTTCACATACAATAATTGGAATGTGGTTTCACTTGGAGGCAGAGAAAGACACTAGGCTACCTGAATTAGAGGTAGAGGGATATCTATGTTTACCAAAAAAAAAAAAAAAAGAGTTGTTACCTGGCTGAAACAACAAGGTCAAATTTTGCATCAAATAATCCTCTGCAGAAAGCATTGGCTGTATTCACAGAAAGGGAAAATCCAGATGACTTCTTAGGGAGCAGGATGTTATATCTCAGAGTTGACTTGGAGAAACATAGAATACGTTGTTGATTAACTAAAGGATTAATTTTAAATTTATTACCTCCACATTAACATTTCAACTTAAAGTTAATTTTTACTTCTTTGCTTCTTTTTTTCTATACAATTATATACAATATACTAGTAACACTAATTCTATACAATATATTAGTAACACTAGTAACTTTAGCTAACATTTATTGAACATATACTCTGTACTTACTTTTAAATGCTTTTTTATATAATAATTCTTTTAATGTTTCCAACAATCCTTTGAGGTAGATGCTATTTTTAACCTCCATTTTATAGATGAGGGCAACGGGGGACAGAAAGATGAGTAACTTGTCCAAACTCATACAGCTACTGAGTAGCAGAGTTAGACTATATCTATGCTGTGTTTTGGATAATAATTAAAATGATCTGATTTCAGCCTTAAGCAACTGATAAAATTACTATAATGTCAGAACTTCAGGAATCAAGGTAAATACCATGAATACAATGAATAAATTATAAGAGAAATTGCAGAATCTAAATCCAAGATAAAATGACTTGGTAAGAGGCTTGGTTAAAGACTTAACTTGACCTAACAATCCCACTTCAAGAAATATTTCCAGAAGATATACCTGTCCAAGTACAAAGTCATATATACACATTAATAATTTCAAAGTCATATGTAATGGTCAAAGAGGGGAACTACTGCCAACTGTCCAGAAACATTTGACATATTGAGTATACTCTGGCATATTGGACTATACAGTATGGCAATGCCAGCTAATAAAGGTAGAAGGTGTGATAGAATTAGAAAATCACCACTTCGTAGTTCTTAATGAAATGGTTGATCAGGTAAAGATCATCAATGCATGTTAAGACTTTTAGGTAAACATTGATGATGAACTCAACATCTTTACGATCCCAGTGTAATATTTTGAATGTTAATTGTTGGTGCAAAGAAGAAAAAAGCAGCAACATTAGTGGGGAAGTATGGCTATCACCACCTTTAATCCAGTGATCAAACTTCACATCACTAATAATGATGTGCCTCTGGATGTGATACAATATAAATATAGATCCAACTTTTAGTTACAGAAGGCACAGAATGAGACAACAAATTAAATGACAGCAGAAGAAAACAATCTGGTAAATTCAGAATTAGGGAAATTCTACACCACAACTGGCCTGATCTCTTCAACAAATTAATGTCACAAAAAAATACAAAAAACTTGATAGATCTGTTAGGTTAAAAGAGACTTAAGAAGCATAACAAACAGCTGCAAAGTATGGTCTTTGATTGAATCCTGATTTGAAAAACAATCATAAAGTATATTTGGGGATAGAGGTTTGATAATTAAATTATATCACAATACAAACTATTGTTATTTATTTATTTATTTATTTATTTTTTGAAATGGAGTCTCACTCTGTTGCCCAGGTTGGAGTGCAGTGGCATGTTCTTGGCCCATTGCAACCTCTGTCTCCCAGGTTCAAGCAATTAATTATCCTGCCTCAGCCTCCCGAGTAGCTGGGATTATGGGCACACACAACCACGCTCAGCTAAATTTTGTATTTTTAGTAGAGATGGGGGTTTCACCACGCTGTCCAGGCTGGTCTCGAACTCCTGACCTCAAGTGATCCGCCCACCCTGGCCTCCCAAAGTACTGGGATTACAGGTGTGAGCCACTGCACCTGGCCAAGCTATTGTTAATGTGTGGTTGCTCTGATAATGGCATTGCAGTTACATAATTGCATGTCCTTATTTATTTTTTGGAGATCCATATATATCGTATTTAGGAGTGGCATGATAACTCTAATTTACTTTAGAATTCAGCAAAACAACGTGAAGCAAAAATGACCAAATGTGAACAAACTATTAAATCTAGTTATTCGTTCATTATACTATTCTCTCTAGTTTCACTTAGATTATAAGTTTTGATAAGTTGGGGGGTAAAAAAGTCCAAAATTACCTGCACATAAACACAGCCATTGCCATTCACTTCCACCATATACTTTCCCTTAGTTGTTGGCAATGGAATTTGTTGTAGCAACAAACGGTTCTTATCATTCACTTGGAAGGCTGTATTGAATCCTTGGTCAGAGAAAATTTGCACTGAATTTTGTCTATTCTTAGAGAAAGTGAGCCTCTGGAATAGCGTCAGGGCTTGGAGGGCCACAATGGTATCCTAATAGAAGAATGGCAAATTGTATTAAAGCATACCATGGGATTTAGCAATCAGTCAAACACAGCTGTGATTTATTTAAAAATAATTTAAAATGCGATTACATCTTTTTCCATGCATTTTACTTTGTTTTGTGAACTATACTGTCTTGGGTGCTGTATAATTTAAACAGACAAATGCGGTTTGTGGCAACATTTCTGTTCAAATCTTTAACACAAACAAAACATTGTTTAATAGAATAAAAATGTAAGAAAATGCCAAGAAAATTTTTTTTAAATGCCTATCAAATCAGGTTTTGTTTTACCAAACATCAAAGCATACAACGAGGCCAAAATATCAATGGAAAAAACAAAAAGACTAAAGAGATGACAAAATATATATGACTTTATATTTCAATAACAGTAGCATTTCAAATCATTGAGACAATTAATTATTACATAAATGACATCGAGACAACTGGCTGGCCATTTAAAGTTAGGTCTCTACTGTAACTCTATCAAAATACACCCTATAAAATTATATCCCATAAAATTACATCCTATAAAATCAAAATATATCCTATAAAATGAATCATAATAGAAATATGATGAATTAATTCATATTACAGAAAAGTCTGATAATATATTTATATAATTTTTTGTGTTGAGTAATACTCTTAGTTTTAAAGTGAGAATCTTCAGTAGAATAATTACATTCAGTGAAAATGAAAAGAAAAGAATGTGTATTTTAAAGCATGATAAAAATTGGAAGAAAAACAGAAAGTTGACAAGGATGTTACATGCATTAGTAAGGTTAATATCTTTACTATATTCAGACGTCTTACACATAATCAAGGAAAACATTAATATCCCTATTAGGAAATGTACAAATGATATGACCAGGAAATTTATAATATACGAAATAAAAGAGAACTTTAAAAAAATGAAAGCATATTCTATCTAAGTAGAAACCAGGGAGATTTATTTTTATGCAGAATGTATTACTAATTTTATTGTATCAGATCAAGAGAAATGATTTTGAAATTATATAATGAAAGGTACACACTGCTGATGATAATGCAAATTGAGAACACCTTTTCTGATAAAATCATAGCTAATTTTATACAGAACATTTAGTAGGTTGTACTTAAGTTTTTATTTTAAAAATTAAAGTAAAGCATATTTGAATAAGTATTTAGAGATTATTACTAGATAAAATGCTACATCTGTGAAAAACCTGAAAGACAGCAAATTGAAAAATGATAGCAAGTTTAATAGTGACAACAATTACATTTAATTGCATAAATATAATATATAAATTTAAAGACCAATACCACCAACGCAAAGCAAGTGCTCAATTTTCTTGTGCATAGAAATTTTACAAAGATATAGAGTTACCTTTGTGGAGAAGAAACCTCCATGGGAATTTTGCTGCTTTGCCACCCAGTGTACAATCTGAGATGCATAGGACAGTTCTTCTGAAGTCAGCTGTGGCTTGAAAAGAAGAGCCAATAGCCCATAACAGGTCATCTCTATATCTGCGGAGGAAGCCTGAGGGTAGTACAAAGATGACAATCCTTCCATAGAAAACCTCTCTTCCAGTTCCCAGTACACGGAGCCACCTGACCAAAAAGTGAAAGGAATTCAACAGTGTCTGTGTCAAAGCATGGCATATAACTGTGTGTGGTCAAATGGGTGGTATTTGAGGGAGTGCAAACCTTACAACTGGTAATAAAGAAACATGAGGGGATGATAATTATCCCACTGCCAATCATTCTACTTATCCAGCATGTTACTCCAGGAAGGGTCAAAAACACTCACCTACTCTTTTTGCTTTTTTGTTCAGCTCATTGAAGAAGAATTCCCTTTTGTCTTCATAGCCTACTAAACTGTAAGTGTAGGCTAGGAGGGCCTGCTCATAAGTAGTCATAGCTCTTTCCCTAGATACAGTCTCTAAGCACTGGAGACCCTTTTGAATAGCCATAAACTGCAAAGAATAAAAAAGAAAAAATCAAATGTGCACACAAAAACACATACAAAAACACAGATGTAGATATGATCATTGCTGGAAAAAAATTAGGAATGAATTTTGTTTGTGCTGAAACGTTCAAAGGGCAAATACAACATATTCATTTTAATTTCTACATAGTTCCATCTGCACAGTGTAATTTGACGATTCAGAAGAATATTGATTCAGTATTATTCAGCATATGTGGTAGCTACAAACATATAGTTCTACTTCCTGTTACTATATTGTTGGCATAAAATGTTCTGAGTTCATAAGAAGCAAGTTAGTGGGATCACCAGTGGGCTACATACCGAGACCGGGTGGTCAGCTTCAAGCAGAGCACCGATAACATATGCAGTTAGAGAGATTTCATTATCTTCTTTTCCCTGAATGAAACATAGGGGTAACATGTCAGTCTCATGGAATTCAGAGGAAGGGTATTTCTAAATCTAATATATTTGAAAACTCAGTTTGTTTGTTTTCTTTTCCTATATTTTTGGGAGGTGAAGTTTTTCATGTCCTCAAAAGATACTGTTTATAAAAAGTAGGAAATAGAGAACAAACACCTGAACATTTTATATAAACAGGAACATCACTTGTCAAAATAACTTACGGGCCTCAGAAGGCATTTAGAATCAAAGGAGGGAGAGAATGTTCTGCAAAGTTCTAATTTAATTCTCACCCTCATATTTACCCTAGAAATAATATAAAAAGTATCATGAAAAGAATGCATGCTATGATATTACTATGATTAAAAGAGTACAGTATAAAATAGAAATATTTTATAGTAGTATAATCAGTAGATCAATCAATAGAGCAGAAAGAAATCATATCAAGTATAGAAAACAATGTAACAAAGTTAGCCTCAAAAATCGGTAGAAACAGAAAGCATTAATTAACAAGAGGTGTCATGATAAGTGGTGAACTATTTGGAATATAGAAGTAAATTACATATAAATTACACAACATACTGAATAAATTCTAGTAGGTCAATAATATTAGCTATAAAGAAAATCAAACTAGCTCCAAAAGATTAAAAAACAGTTACAAATAAGAAAAAATAAACTAAAAATAATCATACGAAAAATATTTGACTTTTGAACCAATTGACCTATAAACAAAAATAGACATTAAGCACCATCTTTTTTCTTGTATATTTTCAAAGATTTTTGTTTTCATACTTATATTACTCAGAGTCAGTAGTAGTGCTATGAGTTAGATACTCTATATGTAAAAAGAATCAAAATTGGCACAATTTTACTAAAAATCAATCTGGTAACGTTTTATCAGAACCTTAAAAAATTACACTTTTAGATAGCTATCCTACTTCAATAATGAACTAGGGGCCTATTTACATATAAGAATGTTAACAAAACATTATTTTGAGTTTATTAAGCATTACTGAAACCTCAAGAAAGATTTTGGTTTATTCATATGATGATGTATAGAGAGCTATTAATTTTATGTTTTTAAGTTATTCTAATGACATGGCAGAGTTATTATAAATAATGTTAGGTTTCAAAAAGGGAAGACTAAAAATCCATGCAGGATAATCTCAATTATATTTATAAAGCATAAATAAAAAGACTGAAGGAAAATATCGCCAAAACATTAATGGTGATTATTTCTGAATTGTTGACATATGAATAATATTTTGGTCAATATCTTATATGAAATCTCCGAGCTACTTTCAATAAATAAATACTACTATGATAATTATGAAGAAAACATAAGTTTTAAAACACTTAGAAATAAAAGGCATATTCATTATGAACACTTATCTCAGGGATATTAGCAAGTAAGAGCAAAACAAGTTGAATTCTAATAATAAAACAATATTGATAAAGAATTTCTTAAATGATAAAGCACTAAGCTATTAAGAATTATCCAGGTTCTGTTACTTGTTTGTTCACACTTTGACTAATAATCCTGCCCCTGCACCCTGCCCCCAGTTACCACAATTACTGTTAGAATCTTCTAGAGTTTTTAACCTGACTGAAGGAAAGAAAATGTTGCATTTGCTATAAAGAAATGTTTTATTGGTTTTCAAGATAATTAGTTTATGCTAGTAGAAATTCCCGTTCAACAATTTTTACCAATTTCTTCAGTGTACTTTGGGATTCACTAAACAATTATAATGAAAGAATAGAAAACTGTAAGGTAGAATCTCATCAGTACCTTCAAAGCATTGTTGAAGGCTTTGCCAAAATTTAGGAAGCAGCCATCTGGTTTCTGAATATTTAAGAGCCAAATAAGCGTTTGGGATTGAACTTTGTCATCGATATAAATGTAACGTTTAGCCTGTGCAAATGACTTGTAAACAAATGCAGTCAGCCTGGAAAAAAAAGATATACAGTGCATATTATAACAACCATTGAGAGGCAGGTGAATTCTCATTAAAATATGTGACTTGCTTCTGGCCAGGCATGGTGGCTCACGCTTGTAATCCCAGCACTTTGGGAGGCCGAGGCGGGTGGATCACAAGGTCAGGAGTTCGAGACCAGGTTGGCCAATATGGTGAAACCCCCTCTCCACTAAAAGTATGAAAATTAGCCGGGTGTGGTCGTGGGCACCTGTAGTTTCAGTTACTTGGGAAGCTGAGGCAGGAGAGTCGCTTGAACCTGGGAGGCAGAGGTTGCAGTGAGCCGAAATCATACCACTGCATTCCAGCCAGGGCAAAAGAGCGAGACTCCATCTCAAAAAAAAAAAAAAAAAAGAAAAGAAAAGAATAAGAAAAAGAAAGAAAAAAAGTGTAACTTGCTTCAATTATGTTTTTAGTTTCACATCCTGAAAATTTCTTTCTCAAATTCTAGCCGAACGTGTCCACCCACCCATCTCTTTGGCTTGAGGGATGATTTAAGTTATTCTAATGACATGGCAAAGTTATTACAAATAATGTTAGGTTTCAAGAAAGGAAGACTAACCTCTCATACAGGATAATCTCAATTATGTTTATAAAGCATAGGAGAAAAAGACTGAAGGAAAATATTGCCAAAACATTAATGGAGATTATTTATGAGTTGCTCAGGTAAGAATAATATTTTTATTAATTTGCATATTACTGATTTGCTTAATTTGCATATTACTGATTTGGTAATAATTTATATGTTGCTGGTTAATAACTTAAATCAAGTCTCCATCCATTTGACTTAAATCCTTTCTCTTCCTCCTTCTCTGAATTCATCATTCATGCCCTCAATGAAGAGTCACCTTCTCTATAACATCTTCCCAGATTCTTTTATCTCTACCCGAAGCAAAACTAGAATTCCTGCACTTGTCCCCTCTTAACATCTAAGAGCTTATTGGGAAATTATAGGATGTTGTAACTAGAAAAATATCTTAAGAGGACAAGATGAGGCATGTGTGCCTTATTATGATTTCATGATAACCTGAGGTCTACAGGGTTTAAATGGCTCATCCAAAATGAGCTGTAGTTTATCCTTAGTTAACTTCTCCCTTGTAGACTGGCATTCCTAACAGGTAAACACGGTGGGATTCATCCATGTGTGTAATATGCATTGCATTTAGTCCAAACACGTCATCACACAATTGCTGGAAAAGTTGGCATGCCTGTATACTTCCATAGGATCATGTGCATATTTTTATTACAGCTTTTATCACGTTGTGTTTTAATTTTTTTTCTTAGTTGCCTTTTTCCACTATACTCCACACTTCTCAGAGTCAAGGGTCATGTACTATCAAGAGGCAAAATAATGTAGTGAGTGAAGGTTCACATTCTGGAACAGACATTCAAGTTCTGCCACAATATTGGCAATGTGAACTTGCACAAATTATTTAACCTCTCGATGGGTTGTGGGCAGAATTGTGTTGCCTCCTCATTCAAATTCAAATGTTGAACCCCTATACCTCAGTACCGGAGAATTTGACTTGTTTTTAAACATAGGGTCTTCAAAGAGGTAAGTTACAATGATGTCATTTGAGTAGACTCTAATCCAATACGACAATATGACTGGTGTCCTCACAAGAAGAGGAAATTTGGACACAGATATGCACTGAGATAAGACCATGAGAAGACAGGAAGAAGACAGCCATGTCCAAGCCCAGAAGACAGGTTCAAAAAAATGTCAACGTTATTAACACCTGAGTCATGGACTTCTGGCTTCCGGAATCATAAGAAGACAAATTTCTGTTGTTTACACCATCGTCTGTGGTGCTTTTTTATGGTACTTAGCAAACTAATATATTGTGTTTCTGTTTCTTTATATGTAAAATGGGTGTCATGATGCTATCTGCCTCACTGGGTAATTATGGAGATTTATTATCCTCAATTAGAAAAGAAACAATAATGATTATTATAGCGAGCATCTGTCTTTTTGTATCTCAAGGATGTATTACTGTTCCCAGGACATAGCAGCTAGGGGTGAATATGTATTTGTAAATAAAAGTTAACAATATAGGGAATAAATTTTAAAATTTAACTTGCATCTCATTAATCACCCTGTCTTTTAGGCTTACAGTAATAATGCAATCTTTGCTTAAATTATTTTGGTTTTAGTGCTTATTTCCCCATTTGTCGCAACCAGGATTCTGCTCCAATATAGGTTTTTAAAGTCTCATTAGGAGGATTCATAATTACACAGCACAATTTCTGAGTGGCACTATCAGTTATCATAAACAATCTTGAGACTATCTTTAGGTTAGGTTGGGATATTATTGTTTCAATGGAATAATTTGCTTCTATAATAAATGTAGTTTCATACCTTTTATCCTGCTCTATTGAGTTACTTTGTCTAGTAATTTGCTTATGTATCATGTATAATTTTTTTGTAAGTAAAAGATAGAAATACCATAAGTCTTTAACCCAAGAGCCCAGGAATCCTATTAAAAGAATGTGTATATGTGTGTGGAAGTTTGTATATTTATAGTTTGTGGGGGAAGATCCATAGTTTTTATAAAATTCTCAAAAATCACTTGAAAAAAATTAGTAGATTAGAAGTAATTAGAAACATCTAGTTAAACTGATGTAAATAACAAAACTTCAAACCATGTGTGTCCATGTTCATCTTTATGTCCAAAGGTACTATATGATCCATCGAAGTGTTTATAAGACAGCTGCCTCTGATAACCTGAAACAAGAAGAGATATTATTTTTCAAATTAAAATGGATGATCCAGAAGAAAAGTTGGATAAGTTGAATATTTGTGTTAGTTATAAATGGATGTATACATACAGACAAATACAGTCACGTACTTAACAAGCAAAATAGCCGGGATTCAGGGATTTAACTGAGAGGAGCAAAATAAGGCTTCCAAATGCTTTACCTGTGGTCAGGTATCCAATAATCTTGGATTTGATCTCTTCGGTCAGTTGTTGAGTCTGACTCAGATAGTCCAAGATGTAAATATTGGGAGTGAATAGGGCCATATTCTGCTCTCCACAACCAAAAGGCAGGTGAAGAAGATTCTGTAGGTTCTGCATGGCAGAACCGAGAATGTCTCCTGAAAAATCAATCAAGTCAATATGAAGGACTTTGTAAAAATTGATAAGATGAAGAATATTAGTTTGTATTCAACATCTCTATGTCATAGATACCGGAAATAATTATTTTAACTATTATCTGGATCTTATTTTCTCTTCTATTTGTTGGACCCACACTATAGAATTAGCAAGACAACTCAGGGCCTTGTTTTCAGAACCATGGTGGAGATATGTTATCCAAAGCAGCACAGCCAAGAGCAGAAGAACCCAAAAGTTTGTGGGAATCAAAATTTCTGGAGAGCTCCCAGGGTGAAGTAGAAAACTCCACGTCAATCATCATTTCAAAAACAACAGGATTTGGGCCCAAAATAAACCTTTGTAAAATGCTTGCCATTTATCAGATGCTGTTCTGAACACTCTGCTCATGCTAATTCATTCAATGCTTATAATAATAACACAAATGGGTATTATTTTTTTCATTTATAATGAAATTGAGGCACAGAGAGGCTGAAAATTTTCCCAGCATCATCTGGAAAAGACACCGCAGAGTCAGGAATTCAGCACACAAAATAGTGCTTCAGAGTGCCTGGACTTGGACACTTCCCTACACACTTTCTACCAATACCTAATAGTTGTGTAGCATTTACTACATGTCTTGAGATGTCTAAGCATCTTAACTCATTTAATTTTTATAACAATCCTATGAAATAAGTAATACTATTATCTTTATGTAAGGGATGAAGAAATGAGACACAGAGAGGTTCAGCAATTTTCCCAAAGTGACACAGCAAGTGGTAAAAATGGGATTCAAACCCAAGGCAGCCTTCTGGGAAAGTCAGTTCTCTTATCCACTGTGCTTTGCCACTGTAAAGAACTTCTACAGTCCGAAGACTGAAATCATGTCAGGTATCTTTTTGAATCACAAGGGTATGAAACTAGAAATAAATAACAGGACAAAAATTCACAAATATGTAGAAATTGAACACATGCCTGAATACCCACTGGGTCAAGGAAGAAACCAAAAGGGAAATAAAAAAATACCTTGAGACAAAAGAAAATGGAAACACAACATACCAAATCTTATGGGATACAGCAGAAGCAGTTTGGAGAGGTAAATGTATATTCAAAAACTGCTATATCATAAAAGAATAAAGATCTCAAATAAATGATCTAATGTTACATTTTAAGGAACCAGAAAAAGAACAAACTAAGCCCAAAGGTAGCAAAAGAAAGGGAATAACAAAGATTAGAACAGGAATAAATGAAGTAGAGACTAGAAAAACAATCAATGAAACTAGTTTGTTGAAAACATAAATGAAATTGACAAACCATTACCTAAGATAAAAAGAGTGAAGACTCAAATAAACAGGACCATAAATGAAGGATGAGATATTAGAACTTATACCACAGGGATACAAAGGATCATATAATACTACTATGAAGCATTATATGCCAGTAAACTGATAATCTAGAAGTAAATACATTCATGCACACATATAACCTGCTAAGACCGAATCGTAAATAAACAGACAATCTGAGAAGACTAATAGTGAGTAAGGAGATTTAATCAATATCACAGGTCTCCCATCAAATAAAAGTCCCAGACTGGATGGCTTCCCTGATGAATTCTCCCAAATATTTAAAGAACTAACATCAGTTCTTACCAGACTCTTCCAAGAAATCAAAGTGGAAGTAATACTTCCAAATTCATGTTACAAGTCTAGTATTACCCTGATACCAAAGCCAGACAAGGACATTACAAGAAAACTACAGACCAAGATCCCTGATGCATATAAACCCCAAAAATCCTCAACAAAATACTAACTAGCTAATTGAATTCAATGGCTCACTAAATAGATGGAAACTGAGCCATTTGCTATTAAGAGAGCCTAAAAATAAGAAGGGTTTAGAATGATGGTGCTGGATATAATGGTGTAGCGTCTGTGACTTGTATTTGTTGGATATCATTTTGGTAATGAGACTTATTTGCTCAAAGCCAAAAGCTCAAGTAAGTGCAGGTCTTCTTTGGTTTTGATACTGGAAGATGTTCTGGATATAAGCTGAGTGTTCTTCCCCTCCCTGTTAGTATTTTTCTGGTCTATACTTCTTCTACTGCAACAATGCAAGATACAACCATAATGCCACATAGAGTGCAGAATTCCTTCTATTGTACAGTATTCTTTAGATATTCCTCTTAAATCTTTAATCTGGGCTGTATATAGGTGATGACTAGAAGGTAGGGGCTAAACAGTCCAGAATTGTTTTTTGAAAAGATAGAAATAAATCATAGAGGTAACTATCTTTGAAATCTGGAATGAGCAAGAAAGCAATTTGCCCTTTTTAACATGGGAACAATGACAGGAATATATTCTATTTAATTTTGGCATACATTTTATGTTTCTATATCTAAACACGTCTTACAGTTATTCTTATTACCCTTAAGCTTTTCCAGTTGTTGGCGCGTTACTGGGGTTCTAGGTTTATAGGGCCTGTAAGTTACGAGTAGGACGTTTTGCCCAGCTTTGGTCATTGTCCCACAGGGACCACTGCCTTTGTGTGGAATGCTGTTTGCTCCTACCTGAGTGTTGTAATTTCAGGGCAAAAGAAGTGAAATATCGATGTTAACCAGTTCAGCACACTGTACTCTAAAAATCACTGGTTTGTGAGAAAACATAAAGTTTTTCCTTACTGAGGTAGCCTTAAATGAGACATGAGCCAGAAATGCTAATGACGGGAGTAAATTTTTATGTGTCAGATGAAATGGCCTTTAAGAAAGGAAAGTGAGTGTGTCATATATAACAACTTAGTCATATATACCAACCTCAATTATAAAATTCTTAGGCTAGAAATGCAGTCTAAAACAGATGACAAAATAGAACCATGGCAGAAATAGGTATAATTTTTCTCTTCTTTCCAAGCCTGTGTATTATAGTGCTTTGCAGACTTACCAAGGACAGACCAATAAGCTCTAGGTGAATCTTTTACAAGATTATCTGGTAAAGTTAGCACTACTGGTTGAGATACTGTGGATCCTAGGAAACAGTAAAGTGAAATTATTAATTCAGACCTCTCATTTATTTTAAAAACCATGATTTTGACTTTGAATATAAGTTATCTTCTTGATTGTTAAATCACTTAATGTCTACTTATTGACTATCCCCAACTCTGAAATAATCAGAAAAAAGGTCAAAGAGATTCCTACAATTATAACTAATCATATTCACATAAACTCTTTACAATCAGTTACAATTTAACATATAATGAAACCTTAACTTTGGTGAGTACATTCCAATTTACTTTTGCACCTATGATTTAATTGGATTTTCACAAAACAACTTATAGGATGAATAGACTAGATGTTTTTCCTGCCTTGGTATAGAAGAGTATGCTTAGGCCAAAAGAAAATAAATTTGGAACATCTCCTAATTGTAAGTGATAAAACACTGAATCTGAACCCATGCTTTTTGAATTGGGTTGAACATAATTTTCATACTGGTATTAAAAATACTCCACTACCTGTGTATGCTCCTTAAGGTGACAAAATATTGGAATATAAAATGAGATCTCTGGCTACTATTAACTCCAGGGGCCTCTAATATTTCTAACATTCAAACAAACAAATAAATGGTGGCAAAAGCAAAATAAATTAGATAATAGAAAGAAATCCAGTTGCAGTCTGGTACTATTTATAGGGCAATTAATTGTTGCAGTGTTGGAAACAAATATTTTTAAGCAATAGATGTGAGACAAAGCCCAGATAGGTAATGGACTTCAGAAGATGTGGTAATCAGAAAAAAAGACTTGTCAGAATTTGGTTCAGAGGTGGGAGGATAAAATAAATGACATACATTAGGTAGAAGAAATTCTTCTCTGGTTGAGTGCTTTGGACAGAACTTTTAGAGTCATAGTTACTATTTTTAATGACAAAATTAAGGCTTAGATGGGTAGAAATTAAATGGTAGAGATAAGGGTTAAAGTCACGGATACTTGAATTTCTGAACTAGGGAACAGTCAACAAGGAAGAACTAAAAGTTTAAAATTTGCTTTGGCTTGTGAAATTATTAAGTTTTATTACTTGAACGTAATTTAATCTTTCCCAGCAGCCATGTTCTGAGAAGATAAATAATAAAACCCTTCATTCTAAAACAAAGACAAATAAAAGTTCCATTCAATATTGCCATGTCAGCAAAAACATGTAAAGATATCTACTTGCCATTTGTACAAATAAGTGAGCCCTGTGTCATCTCCTTTTCAATACCTTCAGGCTAATTGTTGGAAGAAAAAAAGAAAGTAGTCATGATTAATTTCATAATCAACAATATTCTGAATATTCAGTTTATTCATAAATTAATAATAATGCCTAAATAGAACAAATCACCTTCAAAATTTATTCCAGATAGTGCATCTATGAATTATTAAGCCCAAGATAATGCAGAGATGACCCATTTGATTTTGCATGCTATACAATAAGCTGTGTTACCAAAATGAAAATCAAGGATTTTCATAAAGATCCTTCAAGCTCCAAAATTCTTTCCCTCTATTGCAAGACTATTATATAGTTGACTTTAAATATTCTTTGCATAAGTGGATGAGATGTGTACCTCTGGCCTTCTTTTCCAAATATTTGATTGAAATACTGTGTTTTATCTTTGGATAAGTGGTTCACTCCTCTTTCTATGGGTTCTGAAAGCTATACTTTATGCTTCTTAATGGAGATAAATCTTTGAAATACACACAGATTGTTTTCCTCAAGGCCCAAAAGTTTTACTTCGAAGTCATACCTCTACCAGCAAGGGTTTGATCAGTGTATCCCTCCAGCCAATGTCTGGAGCTGTAGATGACCCATTCCCGCAGCCACTATTTTGCAGGGTTTCAGCAGTGACAGTGAGGTTGACTGTACCTTAAGTGGCATAAAATGTAAATGGCAGTTATTTGAATGAAGATATAAGGAGGTAGAAATCATTTTGAACTCTATGTTGAGGTAAATTGTTAAAATAATTGAAATTTGACAGGGGAGAGAATAAAATATGACCTGGAAAATACACACTCTTGAAGTCAAGACTTGATTCCAACTCCCCACCCCTGTCCTCAGGCATACTGGTCTTGGGTTGTGAAAGAGAATACCATCATAAGGAATGGAAGAATGGATAAGCGGTGCTGGTAAGTAATGGGTAAATTGCCTATCATAGACAAAGAGTCTAACATGAGCTCTTAGGGGGATTTACAAAGGGATGTGAAAACATATAATAACTGTAAATCTTACCCAGTGTTTGGGGGGTAACCAGCCAAGTAAAGGATTTTTTCTCATTGCCACATATACAAATATTTTCATATTCAGTTGAGAGAAGTCTGGCTTGGTAAACACTAGATGCTTTCAGTACAGTATTAACCTGTGAGGGCCCGATAAGGAGAGAGAGAGAAAAAGTATTTAATCTTTTCCATACATAAACATAACATAGTCATACAAGTCTGAGAAGTTAGAAAGGAAGTTCCCCACCTTTCATATTTTCTGCTGTGGAAAGAATGGTTTCCAAACCATGAGACCTTCAAAGTCTTACAACAGAGTTATAATTTGACCTTTGGCACTTAGTGACTAATTACTCTGAAAAACCAGTATTTAGGTCTTATATAATAATGCATTACTTCATAGAACTGCAGCGGAATAAGCAGATGTTTTGGCCAATTTGGGTTGACCAAGTTATCATAAGCTCTTGGGAGCCTGTTTTCTTTTTCTTTTCTGTAAATTGAGGACATTGTCATCTACAGTTCACAGCCATGTGTGCTATGGCAAATAGCAGATACAAAGCATCTAGAAGACTGTATCGCAACTCAGGCTCACGAATAAAAACTTTACTAACAAGGAAGCAAAAACAAACTTTCCTGAAAATGAAAAAAATGTACTTTTATTTTTTCCTAAAAAATAGCTTCCTAATAAACTGAGTAGTTCGACTTGCTTGATTTTTTTTTTTTAAGTAAACAGTATCACTTAAAGTAAAATCTGTTGATTAGGTTTGTTACCTGGCACTTTGGACATGTCATTTTGTCACTACTCTCTACTGATGTTCACCAAATAATTGGATGTCAATAAAAGGTTGGGTTTGGGGATCATACCATATTGCAAACCATTGAAAGAGATGAGGTAATGCAAAAAACAAAGGCCACATTATTATTATAGATCTAGTTGAAGTTTGTTATTTTGGTAAAAGTTAAAGAGATGGGAAACAAATGTGAATGCCTATTATTTGCAGCCTATTGTGTAAGGCTTGTGGTTTACATTATCTCATTCAATTCTCTTAAGGACCCAGCCAAGTATGTATTACTAAAAGCATTTTACACCAGATACACTGAGGCTGATGGAGATCAGTACCTTGTTCAAAGCAACAGAACTAGACAGTGTAAAAACCAAGATATAAACCCACATAGAAATGGTGTGTGTGTTTTTTCTATTGTGAAATTGCTGGGGTTTTTTTCCATAGCTATTGGTCAGCTCTCAAGAGCCTATGAAACTCCTAAGCTGTCGTGTATTTTGCATATCCTCATGTATCCCAAAGGTAAACAAATTTAAAATCTAATTTGAGAACATTCAGCGTAATTATTCACAAGGCTTCAAAAGGGTCTTATACATAAAATTATTGAATACGTTGAAGAATCAAAAGTTCTAGGGATCTCTTCAATCATTTCTACCCACCCTCCCCTCACATACAATAATAAAAAGTAGCTTACACCATAGAGCTTAAGTTCTTTTATGTTCAGCCAGTCACCTAGATATAATAATTTATACATCTGGCCGGGCGCAGTGGCTCAAGCCTGTAATCCCGGCACTTTGGGAGGCCAAGACGGGCAGATCACGAGGTCAGGAGATCGAGACCATCCTGGCAAACACGGTGAAACCCCGTCTCTACTAAAAAAATACAAAAAACTAGCCGGGTGAGGTGACGGGCGCCTGTAATCTCAGCTACTCGGGAGGCTGAGGCAGGAGAATGGCGTGAACCCGGGAGGCGGAGCTTGCAGTGAGCTGAGATCCGGCCACTGCACTCCAGCCAGGGCGACAGAGTGAGACTCCGTCCCCCACCAAAAAAATAATTTATACATCTAAGTCACACATTGAGTGGTTGGTAGAGCTTGTTAATGTTTTTTAAAAACTTAGGAAGGAAAGACAAGTTCTTACCAAGTTCTGATCATCAGGCAACTGATATTTGAAGATAATTTACATAGGGAAGAACTTGCTATTTTACTAAGAAGAGCTGGTACCTGAATACAGCTCTTCAGATAGTTGAAGACATTGGCCTTCAGAGTGAATGCTTCTCCTCGAACCACCGAATAGGGCAGAGTGAGATCCACAAAGAAGGGCTGAAAAGCTGTCATGGAGACAGTTGGGGAGAGGCCAAATCCAGCTTTGTCATTCATGCAGAATCCACTGGCCTTCCATTGTGTAATTGTATCCGGAACAGTAAGCCTAAGGTTGGCTGCACCTGAGGAGCTAATAAAAGAGATAGCATACAGATTCAGAGAGAAGCTGTCACCGTGTAACACATGTATAATTGGATCATTCCACTTCCTTGGAGCTCTACATTTCCTCCTTTGATGGTTCAATGGTCTGCTAAACTACAGTAGGCAAATTCTCTCTTTTTTTTTAATCCCATTCTTCCTCTGTTTTGCTCCATATCATACTTTATCTGTAAAGAAGCTTAACATTAAGCTTTTGTGTCCAGTGCATTAGCTTTCCTTACCTTTGAGTCATCTTTGACTCTACTGTTTCTTAATTGTGAGATCTCATCTTTTAATTCTATTTTAAATTTTATGATACTATGTATTTTCTTATAAACCCTGAACAATTATGAACCATTAAAATACTCGACATGGGCATTAATCTTTTACTTTCTTATAAAACACTGAGAAAGATACTTTCATCTCTGTGCATTTCTGTCTTTCGTTATCAGTAGACACTATGAGTGGTCTTTAACACCAAAATATTTGGAAATGTTTGAGTGAGTAGGAGACATGAATTAATGACTCATTTAATTTAGTCAGAATATCTAAATTGGCAATTTGTTTAACTTTAGTTTACTTATAAGTCGTTGCTATCACATTCATCCAACTTTACTGATAAGTATAAAACATGAGCCATATAATACAGTTTTTAAGTTTAAAGTGTGCACATTAGCCTTATACTTGAAATTTTTATGGCACCTACTTAGAAATTTATTTTTTTCCAACTTCCTTTCCTCCTCTTCTTCCTCCCCTTTATTATTTCCTTTTTTCTTCCTCTTTTACATTTTCTTTTCTCCTCTTTCTCCTTTCTCCCTTACCTCCATATGTATTTGTTGAGTATTATGTTCATCATGTAATACAACAAAAATTTCAGTGTGCTTTATAGTCTCCCGTACAACTTTCCTTCCAACAACATCCAAGTTCTTATTAAAAAAAGTGATAAAACATAAGAGTAAGAAACATAATAAATAGAGTAAGAGTAAGAAACATAAAACATAGAGTAAGAAAAAGAAATAAGGAAAAAATAAAAGGAGAAAGTGAAAGGAAGAAAAAAGAGAAGTTAGAATCCTACCATAGGCTCTGCAGAATTTTTGACACACTCTTAGTTTTCAGTCTTGGGGACATATTTATTTCCATAAGGCTGGCAAATATGAATGTTGTCTTTCATTCAGATAAAAAGAAAAATTAAATGAAGAAAAACGCAATTAAAAATACTCACTCAGTTGTAATAAGATTCCAAACCCAAGTTTCAGGAAATGATTTTCTCAGAGTTTCACTATGAAATTTACTCTTGAGGTCTGAACCTGCATAAGCCTCTGAATGAATATAAAGAAATATCTATAAGAATGTTATCACCACAAAAAAAGATAAGTATTTGAACTAATGGCAATGCTAACTAATGATGTGATCATTTCACAGTACTTAAATGTATTGAAACATCACAGTATACCTCATAAATATATACAGTTATCTATCAATTAAAACTAAAATAAAACTTTAAAATAAAAATAAAAAAGTAGGGGGGCT